TCTGCTACACTCAAAATGCAGTGCAAATGTACACACATATTTCCATGTATACATTCATCCTTTTATAAGGCTGAGTATCTCTGCTGGATCCCTTGTTGGGATAAAGAGATAACTAAGACGGAGTTTCATGCAAGGCGAGACAATATGAAGCATTTCCACATTATTTCTGGCATGCCATGGTAGTCCCTAACTCTCAGTTTGAACCACAGGTTACTTTTTAACAATGAAATCCCTCTGAGGCTCTCTGTCTCTTTAGTAATTAAGAAGAAGTTAATAATAAGCTACTAGGGTATCCAGGGTATTAGGTCATAATACCTGGAATCTGTCTTCTTCTATAGCAAAGACTTTGCAGGTGTGATAAAGACTTGCCATGAGGAAAGTGTTCTGGCTTGTCTAGGGGATCCTGAGTGGGATCCCAGGTGATCTTCCAAGGGGAGGTGGAAGGAGATCAGATTCCACACAGAATGGAAGGTAGCACAGGGTGACCACAGAGACAGGAGATGGACTAATTCAGCCAAGGATGCTGATAGCCTCTGGAGGTTGGAGAAGGCAAGGAATGTACTCCCCACCCCCACTGCCAGAGCCTCTGGAGAAACCCTGATTGTGATTCAATGAAGCTGATGGAACATTGACAGAAAAAATGTCTCTTCTTTTAAACCATCAAATTTGTGGCCCTGGGTTATAGCAGGCACAGGAATCTAATATACCAAGTTATTATACTCTGCTGCTCTGAGCCCAAGGCAGATAGGAAACATACCAAGTAGGAAACTGAGTTTCAGAAGAGTAATTGACTTGTCCAGGGTCTCGGGGCAAACAGGTAGAGGAGCTGAGATTCAAATCTAGTTGTCAACTCTTGAGCTTTGCGAATCACCTTATAGTTTAAAACACATTGACATACTTGTCTCTTTCTGGGGAACCCAGAAAACTTTTATTCCTTTCTTTTTTCTTTTTGATAGACCCGTCACCAAGGATCTGGGATTGGAGGCCAGCCCGGGTCCTTGGATGCCCTGCCCCTGTGCTCCTATGCTCTGATATCTTTAAATGCTGCAGGAGGTCTTGTCATGAGCTTCCTGACTCCTGGCTCAGGCACTTCCAGCTTATCAATCTGACCTTTGGTTTTTCATGGCAAACCCTTCTGTGGAGGAAGCTGCCATCAGGTGGCCCAAGCACTGGCTGCACAGGACTGCATTGTCCTTATTTAGAATTGCTTTCACTTAAACCAGCCCTGCTCTTGGAAAGCATGTTTACTCTGGTCCACACCCCACCCCACCCCACCTGGCCCCCAGCTGCCTGACCAGTCTGAGCCTAGAGAACAGCAGTTCCAGCTCTCAGACCTGAGACAGGAAGGGCAAGGAAAGTGGAAAAACAGGAGGCTCCCGAGCACAAGTGTGGGAGGCATGGCTGCCCTTCCCAGGTTGTGGGGCAGAGGAGACTGGTGTCCTCTCTGGGGCACTGTGTGGCCCTTGTAGAGATAGCGACCATTCCCTGCTAGGACAAACCTCAGCTTACAGAGTACAGGGAACTCAGGGTAGAGGTTTGCTTATCTGAAACCAAACAATATTAGAGTAACAACTATTAATGCTAATGATAGTTTTGATAATGTGCCAATATCCTTTTATTAAATACTTATAAACCAAGCAGAATGTTAAATTTCTTATATAATTTATCTCATTTAATTTTCAGGAGAGCCCTATTAGATAGGTAATTTTATGAACCCAGCTTCATAAATGAGGAGCTGGGACTTAGAGAGGTTAAGGTCCTAAGCCATGAAAATGGAGGCTGCAGACCAAGCAGGTCCTCCAAGGAAGCCTAGAGAGGTTCTTTTACATGACCCCCTTCTTGAGAGACTCCCCAGTCTGGTCCTCTTGTTAGAACAGTGAGTTCCTGGAGCAGAGTGACTGGCCTGAGGTCAGTTGCTGGCAGGGCCAGTTTTCCAGCATTCCAGGACTATGCTCTTTCCAACAGGTTGCTCGCATTTACGCTAGGATTTTAAAAAGAAGAAAAAACAATTCAAGATTGGCCGTTTGCTCTAATTTAAGAGGCTTCTATCCCTTTAGCCCTTTGAATCCCATTGTAGAGATGTTACTGTCTTTGAGACCGACATACTTGTTCCATGAGATATCAGGTATAGAGTTTCAGAGAGAAGACAGAGAAACCCCAAAGTTGGAAGCCAGTGAGCCCACCAGATTTCTCTATCGCTTTACATGGAGACCACTTCGTGAAACCTGTCTGCTACAGACATCTCATGGGACTGTCCCATTCTTCTGAGGAGTATCCCCGTTTCACAGGTGCATAAAGTCAGAAGCAACAAGATGTCTCTCTGAGGAAAACAGCTTGAAAAAGGGTTGAGGCTGTCCCTAAATCCATGCCTTCTGATTACTTGTTGACAGTGCACAGAACCCTGCAAAGAAGCTTGGTCCCCTCCAGGCCAGAGAGCTCCTGCCTGGCCATCATGCTTTGTATTTACCTCTTGGAAATGGAATGTGTTGAAAATACTGATCTTGCTCCAAGGAAAGGGGCAGGGAAACAAAAGACTCCCAAGTGCATTTTCTTGCTAGTAGGAGAGGGAGCAATTGTCAGGGAGGAAAGCAACCCAAAAACCAATAACAACAACAAATATTTTTCCACTCAAGTCACTCTCTCATGGGATCTGCAGCACAATTTCTCCAAATGACCTTTCTAATACCTATGCCGTACACAGATAAGGGTGACCTTCCAGATGACTGTCCCTGCATTTGAGTTCAGAGGCAAATGTCAACATCTGCATAGAGATTGGGTTCAGCAATTAAAAGAGGTGAATTGGGTCTTTGTTGGTGGGAGTGCAGACTGGTGCAACCACAGTGGAAATCAGTATGGAGATACCTCAAAGAACTAGGACTAGAGGTCCCATTTGACCCAGCTATTCTCCTGCTGGGGATCTTCCCCAAAGAATTAAAAGAATCATACCACAATGATAGATGCACACCCATGTTTAGAGCGGCACAGTTTGTAGTAGCTAAAGCTTGGAAACAGCCCAATTGCCCATCACCTGGAAACTGGATAAAGAAGATGTTGTTTTTTTATAAAATGGAGTACTACTCAGCCATAAAGAATGAGAAACTAGAGACATTTATAGCTAAATGGATGCACATTGAAGCGATACTCTTAAGTGAAACAAATAGGACACACATGTGTAAATACCGAATAGTTTCTCTAGTGTGAGAAACTGAAAGTGTAAATAAGGATTAAAATGATTAAAACCAACAATTGATAATTTGAAATAGGAAGAAAAGGTCCAAAGGGGTAGGGGAAGTAGGAAGGGAAGGGGAAAGGAAAGAAGGGAAAGGAAAAATTATGAGAAAAGGAAAAAAATGGAAACAAAATCTTTGTATATAGGGAAGGGTGGAGAGGGGGAAGGGAGCACTGGGCATGGGGAATAAATAAGACCCAAGACACATCATGTGCAGGTACAAACATCCAATGATAAATGTAAATGTGTTGTATTTTTTTTGTTTTTTGTTTTTTGTTCTTTGGTACCAGGGATCAAACTCGGGATCTTGTGCTTGCAAGGCAGGTGCTGAAAACACTGAGTTAAATCCACGGCCCATAAATGTATTATAGACCTAAAATGTACCAATAAAAGAATTTAAGCAAAAAAAAAAAAAAGAGAGAGAGGTGAGTGACAGGAGTGTCACCTGCCTGTCCAGTGGGTTCAGATGGGGAGGCACCTGGGCTGGCCAGAGCCTGACCATCACATAGCTAGTTGCCTTTCCCTCCCCCCTTGGCTTTTGCCTCTCTCTTGCTCTGATTATCCACTGTCCTTTATGTCTATGTTGTGGGTTTTGACAAGGTTCATGGTTAGCTTTGCAAAAGGTGGTTATGACACCAGTATGATGAAATGAAAGGGCTATGCTCACAATTTTCGGGGGGCCCTCTAATGTTTCTTCTTCCAGCTACCTAATGGCAAATAGTACAATCAGCATAGTCTCCTCAGAGTATAATGGGAGTTCATGGTCATTTTGCTGAAAGCAATCCTTAATTGTCTCATTTGTATAACAGTCATGACCATCCCTGCTTTCTCATACCTCATGATGTGCTGTCGAAGATCAAAGAAACACACAAATTTTGCATGCTCTCAATTGCTAGATAAAGCGCTAAGTTATTGGGTAGACTTAATTTGAAGATTTCCTTCCCCCTCATGGAAAAAAGTCCTAAGTACTCATTTATTCAGCAAATTGTGGCTAGCCAGGATCTCTGGGCAGTGAGGGTGGGTGTGGCGGGTAGGAAGGTGCTGCCCTGGTAGAATCAAAGCTGCTTTTCAAGCCCCAGAGCTGCTAGTTAGGAGCTGTGTGTTACCAAGCAAAACACTCTGACTCACGGGGCTTTGGAGAGACTTAATAAGAAGCGAAACTGGACGCTAAGTACTAATTTGCATACCTAATTTGTATCTGCTACTTGACATTTGTGACCTCAACACTCACAATTTCCTGGTGCCCTATGCTTTATTTGATCTTCTTTAGAGTTCAGGGAATTGAGGCTCAGAAAAATTAACCAACTTGTTTAAAATCATTACATAGAAGAACAGAAGTGGAATTCTAACATAGATCATTCATTCCCAAATCGAAGGACTTTCCATGGCCCCACTTTGCCTTTCAGCTGTGTATGTGAAAATACTCTAAGCAGAGTAAGGCAATGTGGAGAACCATGTGTTTTATGAGCAACTCAGGAGCCTATTATATTGAAACCCTGGGAGGCAGACTAGTGTTGAAGCCATGGGTTCAGTTCTCCTTTGCCTTGGGATATAATGTTCCATTGTATAGGATATCATCTTTAAAGCCCCATCTTTCTCAGCTTTGACTTTCCGAAACTATAATATGCATAGAGTTTCTAAAAGTTAATGAGTTAATGTGAAAACAGGACCGAGTGAACTGATACTTATTGTGTGTCCCTGATATGTTGTGTGTTTTGTGGCCAATGGTCTCCAAAAAGGACTGTCCCTGATTCCTGCTCTCTCTCTCTAGATGCACACCACTCTTCACAACAAGAGGGGATGCCCACTACTTGAATCTTCCACTGGAATCTGGCTTGGCTTCAGTCACTTATTTGACCAACAGAACCCAGAAGAAATGATTTTCTAGACCCAGGGCAAAGCCACAGGAGGCTCCTCAGCTTACTCCTGGTTCGTTCACAGTATAGCTGGCCTGGTGTCTCTGCAGGCTCTCCATTCAACAGTTCCATCAGCCACATGTGGAAAACATTTTACAAACTGTGAGTATATTGAACATGTACAGAATTTTTATCATGTCATCATTCCCTGAACAATATTGGATCAGGACTGTAATCTACAGATGATCTAAAGTTTAAGGGAGGAGGCTGCCATTCCACTGTTCCTAGGGCAGAGGAGGTAAGCCAACCCCAGTGCCCAGGAGGAGGCTACCCCGCCACCATTCCACCACTCCTAGGGCAGAGGAGGTGAGCCACGTGGGTGCCAGCAGCACCCCTCCCCCGAGTGGAAATGAGAAGACATGTAAACAAGCCTCAAAAACAGGCTTCCAGATCACCTACAGCAACCCCAAAGGGAAATGAGATGGAACAATCTGCTACTCAA